TAGGATACAAATAAATGAACACAGGAAAACAGCTCTATCATCTCTGTTGTTATAATTCGTTTTTATTTTTATCTTTGCCACCCCAAGTTTCTTTGGTACACAGCCATCTATGTAAATCTGTTTAATACAAAAATAAATTTAGTTTTTCCAGTACCTGAAATAAGCAAGACAAAAGAAACCTTCATGGAAATCTCATATTTATTTAAAATTTTAACCACAAAAGATAAAATGTATAATGTGCTGAGTCAAATGAAGTCATTTTACTTCAGATCATAGACAGAAAACATCAAAGCCATAGGTAGCAGAGGAGAGAATTCTGTTCAAATGAATGGGGAAAATCGACATTGCTGGAGATCGTCGTATTAGTTATAAGTGGTTGAATCTGGGAAATGGTAACACTGTAGAACACTGGGAAAGAATAAATAGGAAAGTAGGAGGGGTAAAAGTGATTTTATGAAGATGTGTTATATAGACTGTAAAGACAAACATGGGAGACGTGAATGAGAAGAAATACTGTAGGCCAGATGTTCCCAATCGGGGGTGCGAGATGATATTTCAGGGGGTACGAAAACTTGGGTTTTCAAAATTATAGTGTATATGCATAATTCATTGTCGCTATTTAGAACTTTTTTAAGGGGTGTGAGAATATATCAAAATATATCTAGAGGTGCTGGGTATAGAAAAGACTGGGAGCTGTTGCAATTTATTAAAAGTAGAAGAATGAATGAAGACATCAACATTTTTTGTGGTGGAGAATAACAACCTGTTATCCAATTAAAGGGAGATTATTGCCACTATCATTTAACTGATAGAGATTGAGTCACTATTTTTTCTTTGTTCATTGTTAATTATATTTAATTATTGCCTTAATTGTTTTTTAATTATTATATTAATGAATATAGGGTTACCTCTAGGGTAGATAGTTGGAAGCAGAACAAAATACTAGCTAACAAAATATGAATCAAATTGTTATATTAGGTTGGATTGTCCTTGTTTCCTAGGCTTTAAGAGAAATTTAAAGGGAGCTGGGCATCTATTGATAGAATTTCCCTGAACTGCTTTCTTATTTCATATTGTTTATCATGAATAAAGGAAACAGTAAGAAACACTCCTAGGGGATACATTATGTAGCAGTTTCAAAAATTGTTCTCTTCTGTCTTTTTTTTTTTTCACCCTTTCTGTGTGTGACTTCATCTTTTTAATTGGTTGTGGTAACTGAAGTAAGTTTAATATGATGACTTTGTGGATACAAATTCCTGCAAATTCCCATAGCCAACAGTAGTGGGAGTGAGTGTGAGAAATGATGATCGAAACTAGAACTGAGTTGCCATATTGGAATATTCTGACATTATAATTTTAGAGGCCATATTAGAGGAGCATTGAGGCCTCCCCTTTATTGACCCATCTTTCTTATTTCCATTTTTTCCCAAGCTTCCCAAACAAAAGGAAACAACACAGACAAATTGGCCAGTCTTTTTCAGTTGATTTATTTTCCCTGGGGGTTAAGACAAAATGATGTGTCTTCTGCAGTTTGCTACTGTTATTTTAATTCTGTTTAATAAACACTCAGGATACAACTGGGCCAAGGTTGGATGCTTTTATGTTTCACTGGCTGAAGTGGAAAAGTTAAGTGCAAACTTCAGCCCTCCTGCTGAAAGCTGAGTCATACCGTAATCTTATATATGTCTACTGAGGGTTAAGCCAGTTTACGTGCTGTGGGGTATTTCCCCGGTGAATGAGTTTAAAATCATAACCATAAAGTTTTAAGATGTTTATATTTTCTTTTGTTTTTTCAGCTACAGTTTTTTGCTAAATTGTAAAGCTACATTTAGTGATGGAAACCAGTTGGACTGTACAGCTGCTGCTTCTCTTAGCTATGACATTGGTGAGTCTGTTTCCTCTACATGCACATCTGCAGATGTTTATATAATAGTGTGTACACATGAATGGAAATTGCTCTTAAATCTTGCTTGTTGTTAGCTAGGTAGCTGAATAGATAGTTTATTGATTGATTAGTAGGGGTGCAGTGGTTAGTATGCAGGAGTTTGATTCTAATTCAATTCTGACTGCTCAGGGTTGACTCAGCCTTCCATCCTTCCAAGGTTGGTAAAATGAGGACCCAGATTATTGGGGGCAATATGCTGACTCTGTAAACCACTTAGAGAGGGCTGTAAAGCACTGTGAAGCGGTATGTAAGTCTAAGTGCTATTGCCATTGTTATTGTGATATCAAATATGAAACAAAAATAAAATATTCCAGGGTAAAATAGATGCAAGAAAAATACAGTAATAAAATATGTATGTGTAAAATACAAAGTATCAACATTTAGGTGTATACATTACCTTTATATAGGATACCCCAATTTGTTCAATATAATGGATCCTTTGGTTAACCGCCCTAGCTATAAACCTAGCAGGAGATAACTGGAGAGATCCAAGGTAGCAACAGCAATAGCACTTAGACTTATATACCGCTTCACAGTGCTTTACAGCACTCTCTAAGCAGTTTACAGAGTCAGCATATCGCCCCCCAACAATCTTGCTCCTCATTTTACTGGCCTCGGAATGATGGAAGGCTGAGTCAACCTTGAGCCAGTCAGGATCGAACTCCTGGCAGTTAGCCAATTATTAGCCTGCAGTACTGCATTCTAACCACTGTGCCCTCACGGCACCCAGACTTTTGATCAGAATATGAAACACAGCACAAATTATGTTGTATAGCACATGTTCTTTGTGTGGATTGTCTTAGTTTTGGTTTCTTGAGGAAGGCTTCTGCTTGAAAGAAGTCAATTTTGGAGATCTACTTGGTATCAGTCTTTCTCAGTCTAGTGGCTTCCAGATGGGATAACACTCGAAGACTTCTGGATGAGAATTTTAAGGGTTGTAGCTTAGCATGTCTGTAGAATTCTAATTTAATGAGACATGTTATAGATCAGCAGTGTCTGTAATATTAACAAACATTAACGACTCTTAGAGTCGTTCTTGAGAGCACATATGCAATCATGTTATCCTTTAAAGGTTCCAATTATATTACATAACATTTGACACACAACATGATGTTGTGATGAAGATGATGATGATATAACATGCATGTTTCCATTTGCTTATCTTGCATTCCACCAGCCCCATAATATAGGCATCATGCTATTCCACGTTTCAACCATGTTTTATTAAATAATCCACAATTGACTGGGTTTCCATGACATACTGTGCCATTAATTATGGGTTACAAACCACAATGGCTGTTTTGACAATTCATGCTAAACGAAAACCAGATAAATCATACAATGGCTTATGATTTCTGAACTCTACTCCTCACTTAATAATGGCAATTGAGAGCGGAATTTCCATCATTAAGCAATGCGATTATAAAGAATGACATGTGACCATACCATTTAGCAATAGCACTTCCAGTTACCATTGTTAAACAAGAATCATGTGGATCATTAAGTGAGGACCTCAGTAACTATGACTTCTGACTTTCTGCCAGTTTCCCCAATGACTTTGCTTTTCAGATGCCAGCAGGGAAGATTGTAAATCACAATCATATGACACATGTGGTAGGCAATCTGTGGCATTTAAACTCCCTGAGTCTTTTCTTACAATGAATAGTAGTTTGTTTGGAAGAAGGAAAGATGGAAACAAATGCAATAGAAAACCTTTGCAGAAAATAAGGGCAGTTTTTCCTTCTAGCTGCTCCTCAACTGGGGTTCTTAGTTGGAGATAAGCAGACACATATAAATAGTATGAAATAATACTTTTACTAAAGCTATATTAACAAATAATAAGATTTATGTTAAATTTGCAAAATGCAAAATAATGTCTACATTCCTCTGCCACAGATAGTCAAAGTCAAGATATTCATTGTTCATTGGGACACTTCTCCAGTCAGGATGTCATCCAAGACAAGAATTGGAGTGTTATAATTTGTCAAAAGGTATCATAACCTCCTTTCTGAACCTTGTAAGACTTTTGAAGGGGTAGCAAAAAACCACATTGAATGGCAAAATAATAACATCAGAATAGTGGTGCAGAGGGGATCTTAAAACAGCAGATGTCAGTAGGATGATTTACAGATCAAGTGGAACACAGAAGTGAAAAGAACATAAATTGTTGTTACTTTATTACAAAAGGTTGCAATTATTAAATACACTACAAAAGAGTGTACATATCAATCATAGAGGCTCTGTAGTCATCAACTTAAAATCCACAGTTGGGACTGGAATATTGGTTGCTGAGTGAAGCGGTCATTGAGCAAGATGTCACATGACCATTTCACTCAACAATCAAGATTTCAGCAGTCCTGAATGTGGTCATTAAGCAGTCTCGTGGATCAATAAGTGGACAAAGTTCCGGGTAAGGAGTGCAAAATGCCTTGGAACCCAGCACAGGCTTTATGCAAAGCTGCATCCATCCATGGAAAACTCACCATCCACCTGGCCCACAAGAAAAGCTGCCTCAGTCCAGAAAAACTGCTTAACTCATACTTTATATCAGTTTTCACACAAAAAGAAACCATAGCCCAACATACCAAAAAAAAACCACTGCAAAAGACAAATTAGAAACAAAAATTAAAATAAGCAAGAAAATGGTAAGAGAACACTTATCTGACCTCAACAAATATAAATCACCGGGACCCGACAGATTACATCCCAGTGTTCTGAAGAAGCTGGCAGATGTTATCTCAGAACCATTGCACCACATCTTTCAAAAATCCTGGAGCACCGGGGAAGTACCTGAGGATTGGAAAAGGGCTGATGTGGTTCTCATCTTCAAGAAAGGGGGGAAAAACAGACCCAGGAAACTACAGACCAATCAGTTTACCATCAATACCCGGGAAGATCCTAGAAAAGATAATAAAAAAACTAATCTGCGAACAACTAGAAGCAAACAAAGTTATAACTAGTAGCCAACACGGGTTTGTTAAAAACAAATCATGCCAAACCAATCTTATTTTATTCTTTGACAAAGTGACTAAACTAATACACCAGCAAAATACTGTGGACGTAGTATACTTAGACTTCAGTAAGGCATTTGATAAAGTAGATCACAACCTACTCCTTGGTAAGCTAGAAAAAGGTGGAATAGACAATGTCCTCAATGGCAATATCCACATGGAGAGAAGTAAGCAGTGGGGTACCACAAGGTTGCGTCCTAGGCCCAGTACTCTTCAATATCTTCATCAATGACTTAGATGAGGAAATTGAAGGGGAACTCATCAAACTTGCAGATGACACCAAACTGACAGGAGTAGCCAACACCCCAGAAGACAAACTCAGGATCCAAAAAGATATTGACAAACTTGAACAATGGGCCTGATCCAACAAAATGAGTTTCAATGTGGAGAAAAGCAAAGTTTTACATTTAGGCAGGAAAAATCAAAGGTACAAGTACAGATTGGATGAAATCTGGCTTAAAAACAGTAACTGTGAGAGGAACCTTGGAGTCCTAGTGGACGATCACTTAACCATGAGCCAGCAGTGTGCAGCAGCAACCAAAAAAACTAATACAATCCTGGGTTGAATAAACAGAGGCATAGAATCAAGATCACGCGAGGTATTAGTACAGCTTTATAAAACCCTAGTAAGACCACACCTGGAATACTGCAGCCAATTTTGGTCACCATATCACAGAAAAGATGTTGAGAGTTTGGAAAAAAATCAGAGAAGAGCAACTAAGATGATCAAAGGCCTAGAAACTAAAACATACGAAGTACGGCTGCAGGACTTGGGTTTGGTTAGTCTAAAGAAAAGAAGAAATAGAGGATAATAGCAGTATTCCAATATTTGAGGGGCTGCCACCAAGAAGAGGGGGTCACATTCACCAAAGCACCAAAGGGCAGGGCAAGAAACAACAGTTGGAAACTGATCAAAGAGAGAAGCAACCTGGAATTAAGGAGAAACTTCCTGACAGTGAGGACAATTAACCAATGGAACAGCTTGCCCCCAGAAATCATGGGCACTCCATCACTGGATATTTTTAAGAAGAGGCTAGACAGTCACTTGTCTGAGATGGTATAAATCCTCCTGCTTGAGCAGGGGGCTGGACTAGAAGACCTCCAAGGTCCTTTCCAACTCTATTCTATTCTAACTCACTGCCTACAAGGTACCTCTCTTCACCATTTTTCTCCAGCTGCTGACAGGCATGCCTAGACTATGTGAAGTGTGGCTTTCTTAGTGAGACCACTTCATGTCAAGCAGCCTCTATTCTCATGATCCTTCAGAAGCTGCCTTCTCAAAATCACACAGTTTGGAGAAAGAGGCTTTTGAAGCACAGTGAAAGCGGGCTCCAATCTCCCAATTCTTTCAAAGCCTCCTTTAATGCTAACATGGCTGATTTGAGTCATTTATAAAATTAGGCTGAGGTGCCTGAAACTCAACACATTTTGGACAGTTATACATGGAGATTTTTTTTGTTAGAGAGAGAGAGAGAGAGAGAGAGAGAGAGAGAGAGAGAGAGAGAGAGAGAGAGAGATTGTACCTTTGAAGACACATTCAGAGGAATTTTTTTTCAGATAGCATCAATTTAACGCTCTTCTGCCCAATTACTTCGTCTGCACCTTTTTACATACTTTGAAATGATTTGCATTAATTCATCCAATCCAATTCATGCTCTGTACAATGTTTGCAATTATTTTGGCAACTGTGACAATCTAGTTTTTCTCATTATCTGTCCAGGCTTTTGTCATAGCAGTTCCAGATGAAAAAGAAGGGAATTGGTCCAGTGAAATGGGAACTAAGAACCATACAGACCATCAAACTATACTAGGTGTAACTAATAATAAAATAATGACAGCACAGTTTGAATGCTATCAGAAAATTATGCAGACTACTGAAGAATATGAAGGTAAACAATGTATATCAATATATTTTGATTTTAATCAAGTTGTTTTCCCAAACTAAAGCACACCATCTGTTAATTCATGCAAATATAATTTAAAAATGGTTTTTACCTACTAATACTGTGCTTATTGCATCCCTCTTGGAAATAATTTAATACTTGAAAGTATAAGAGCTTTCAATTCTGCTTTTTTCCTGTCTAAAAGAGCAGATTTGATCTTTTAAAGTTCTTTATAGACAGCACTGGAAACTTTTATATGTTCCAATAAATCTTCCAGTAAGGCACTCCAGGGTGTTCTTATTTAGCACTGCTTAATTTAATTGAATCTTGAGTTTATTTAATTTATTTTGAATGTCATAATAAATGCAACTATTTGGTTTGTTGTTTTATCTTTTGTATGTAACTCTGGCTTTGGGTTGTGAAAAGGAATCAAAATAAATTATAGATAAATTAATGAATGGAGATGTTTGTTGAAAAATATTTTGCTGCTGAGATAGTTAAAGGTACACATTGATTTGGAGGGCAATGATAAATAACTGTAGCTTATCTGTTATGAAAACAGTGGTTGAATTAAAATCTTATTCAGTGTTGCATTAGAACAGCTTTATTTACACTGCAGAAGTCAAATTATTAATGTACAACAAACCTTGAATATTTTTAAACCATTCTCACTGGTTTAGCAAAAGAAAGGTCTTTTAAAAATGGGGAGGGGGACTTTTCAGTAAAAATCAGGAGTTTTGCGTTAAGGGTTTTTTTTGTTTTTGTTTTTTTTGCAAAATAAGGCAAGAGACATATGCAAGTGTAGCCAAGTAAAGTAATGGCTCCAACCATTTGTAGCCTCCCTTCTCATACTTCCTAATTCCAAGAGACATCCTAAACAAACTCATTTCACAACAGCTGTTATTTAAGCAGGCAACAAGGGAGGCCCTAAGCCAGGGGTGTCAAACTGCCGGCCCGCGGTCCGGTTTCATCATACCGGAGCCGCGCCCACCCCATTGCCGGCAATGGCAAAAAAGCTCCGATACGTTGTGCGACATCACGTGACGTCGCAAGTTTGACATGTCTGCCCTAAGCAGATGGAGATGTGTGCAAGTGATCACAGCAACAATTGGCAACAACAGCTCTTTCTATCATCTCCCCAGAATAAAGTTCAAAAATGACATCAGTATAAATCCTAGGGCACTAGAAAAATATAATAAAAATACTGTATAGAATTTCTTCTGCAAAGAAAAAAAATGGAAGCATTCTGACCTAAGTCTAAGATTTACTTAGACTGATTTACTTGGACCAGTTCAGAAGCCTTCCAATCTCAGAGTAAAATTATGAATCTTCATATATAGAAATGGGATTTCCATGCAATGGATCACTATTAGAGATCCGCAAACAGTTATTATACCTTTTTCTCTTTGACAGAATTGGAGGAAGTGTATGGGAATGATTTATTTTATGTTTATAAAGAACTCAAGGCAGCCAACATATCTAATCTTCCTCCTTCTATTTTCCCCATAACAACCCTATGAAATGAGTTGGGCTGAGACTGGGACTGGCACAATGTCACCCAGCTGGTTTTTCATGCGATTTTTGGTAACCAGGTGGAATCTGTCAGGTTTGAGGCAAAAATATTTAGAAGGTTCCCTATCTCCCACCAAGCAGGATTAGCCCTGGATATGAGTTTCCAACAAAAGTGATGGATGTCATAGTGATATCTGCAGCTAAGAAACCTGCACAAGTTCAGAAGGTGAGACACTGATTTCAGCATGCAAAGGAAGGATTCAGAGGTTGGAAGGATGAGAGGGATCTGCTTCCCTTCCCCTGCTTCAGTTGGCTTATTTTGTTTGGGGAAATTGTGTCTCCAGGCAAGTTTCTTGCAAAACTATAGAGTAACAGTTACAGGGTAAGACAGCATGATGGCGAACAACATCCTTAAGTCTTTTGGTTGTTTTCTGCTCTTGCGCAGTATTTTTAATAGTCAAGATTTAGATGATGGTTTTAGAACTCAAAGTGGCAAAGATAGAAAAATGTAAACATTCAACAAATTGTAAGAGCCCAGAGCAAGAACAATGGATGGTGGTTTTAATTTTTTTTCTTGGTAGGAAGGGATTTATACAACAAGGCTGGTATGGAAGCCTCTTTGGAAGCAAATACTGCATATGTCAATCATAAGGGGTTTGGATTGGGTCCAAATATTTGCTTTTTCTGTGGTATACAGAAAAAATGTACCCAGCCTGGGTAAATTAGGATGAAATACTTCAAATGATGACTCTTCACTTTGTAGGTCCACATTGCAACAGAACATGGGATGGTTGGTTATGCTGGGATACTACTGCGGCAGGAGAAACTGCAACGCAAAACTGTCCAGACTATTTTCAGGACTTTGACCCTTCAGGTAAGGATTAAGAATTCAGTACTGTATTTGTCTACTAGAGCGAGCTAGTAAAGATACTGTATTTTATGAGTGCTGAGAATTTGGGTAGAATTGTACAAATTCAACATTATGACAAATCCTTAAATAATTTGACAATATGCTCTTTCTAGTATAGGATTCTTATTACTTCGAATGCATTTGGTATTATGTGTCAGATGTAACCATGTCAGGCCTACACAACTTATACTATGGGCCATTAAATGTCTGTCAAGTTCTGGAGATAATAGTTTCAGGCAGGAAGCAAAGATAGGAATTTAATCAGACTCCAGAAGTGTTTTCATGCTTGGCTACTAGACTGTGTCCACTGTGATAGGTCATATGTTCTGTATGCAAGAACAACATTATGGAGCTGAGACTTTGTCTTCTTTGTATTTTGAAGTACCAGATTTATGTTCCAGATGGACGTTTGGTCAAAGATGTCTCAAATAATTAAGACAATCAAACTGTTCCATATCTTTTGAAATATTTTGGAATTTGCATGTGCAGAACAAGTATCTATAGATGGATTTGCAACTTGATGCTTGTTGTCTCAATTCATCTAAGTTCAGAGCTAGATTACAAAGTCAGACATTTAAGCAGGGTATTTCAGTCAATTAACCAAACTTACTTTGCTATTAAGGAGAGCTTCTATTTCATTTAAGAAGCTGAATTGATTATAATCCATCATTTAATTATGTATATTTAAATGTACATAACTGTTTAAATGAGTATTTTATTGCTACAAGGTTAAAGAACAGTGCTTAGTAATTTATAGATTTAGAGGATGAAAGAGGAGTGCAGATCAAAATAGGCAAGGAAGTGTTAAAAAAACATCTGGTTGCTTTGAATGAATTCAAGTGCTGGGGCTCACCGCAGGATTGATGTGATCTCTGAACTGCTGACTCAGTGGAGTATAGAGCTAATGTCTGAAAACTAGAAAATGTCTGAAAACTTTTAAAAAGGGAAGGGGGGAAGGAGACCCAGGAAATACAGACTAATCAATTTGACATCACTACCTGGAAAATCCTAGTCATCAAGATAGGGGTTAGCTAGCAAGTGTAAGATGAAATACTAAAGAAGGGTTAATTGGTAAAGCATTCCTGAGAATGTGTTTGATAGAATTTTGACTGAAAGGATACAGAAAGTGATAAAAAGAAAAAATTGAAGAATTAAGTAAGGTTTTCTGCCAATTGGTGGGCTAGATTATATTTTTGCAGTTTAGCAGATCACTGAAGCTGCTGAAAACTGAGAAAAAGCTTATTGACTTAGAGAAAGTATATGATAAAGTGAGTTATGGAATGTTTTGTAGGAATATGGACTTCTGAACAGATTCCTGAATATAGTAAGACCACTATATTTTGGAAGTAAAGAATGTATAAAAATAAATGAAATCGTTGCAAGTGGTTAATAACTGAGCAGAGAGTGATACAAGTATCATAGTACAGTATAATATCCTCTTGGTGGTTTGTGTATACATGTATGAAAAATGTTTATCAAGATATTAAAGAAGTTTTGGTTAAGAATTTGTAAGTAGATACAAATTTTGTATGATGATTTTCAGGGAATATTAATACTGTAAATTGAAGGATGAGTATGGATTTGGAAATTAATATATAAAAAACTCAGTGACATAGGAAAAGGAAGGAACAGTTCAAGTTAACTGGGCCAGAACTACATGACTAACCTAAATCACATGTGTGCTCCTTGGCAGAATGTTTAGCAAATGTGAGTAAATGAATGGAGATATTTTAAGACCTGCAAATATTTATTGAAAACTACTAAGTATTTCATATGGGATTTGTGCGTGCAAGAAATATCCCTTGGTGCGCTAGATTAGATTTTTGCTGTTTCGTGGATCATTGAAACTGCTGAAAACTGACAAAATATGTAATGTCCATTTCTTGCAAGAAATAAATTGGCAGTGTATAAAGGAATTGCTATGTGAAAATAATAATTCAGGGAAAAGAAATATAAAAGTAAATTGAATGCAGTGGGAATGGGAATTAGGTTCTTAAGAAATATGTATGGTAAAACAAGAAGACATGGGATAAAAATGAATGGATGCTAAATAAACATGGATTGAATACAAAAGTAAATGACCAACGTGTAAAAAAAATACATTGAAGTGTTTTGGTCCTATATAGAAAAAATATAGATGCAATTACCAAGTGCTATGTTTGAGAAAAAGTGGAAGAATGGAAATGGTGTTCTCTTTTTCTTATTTCATACTTCAGATTTAATTGCCTTATTATTTATTATTCATTTTCTATGCTCTGCATAATGTTACTTACACTAAATAAAAGGGAATAATGCCGATGTGAGCATAATGTACTGTATATATGCATTTCAGTGCCTTTTGTTGTTGCAGTTATTGAAATATTAACTATTTTTGAACACAGACATGGCAATTAATTTTTTTCTCATTTTTTCTCCAAAAGAAAAAGTTTTGAAGATCTGTGAAGAAAGTGGACACTGGTTTGTGCACCCTGAGAGTAACAGAATTTGGACAAACTATAGCCTTTGCACTGATCGAATATATTATAAATTGCAGGTAATTGCATTCTCTGAAGAATAAAGGATTTTAAAAGCCTAATAATTATGAAATGTCCACTATGTTAATTTCTTCTCCCTAGCCACTGCATTATATTTCAGTAAGGTTAATTAATTTAGATTGCCATCCTAGAATAGGTTGTCCTGGAAGAGATTTTATAGAATTCAGCAGGAACTATTTATTAATAGACATGTGTAGGATGTATTGTTAGCATTTTAAGTTCCTTGTTTATTAGGTATAATTATTCATATCTATGTATTTTTCACCATTTGCAATCAGGCAGAATATCATGTGTGTAGAATTGGTTTCACAAATAAGTAGGAAGATCATAAATAAGGGGGGAATCCTTGGTGCTCTCTGAGCTTGCTTGTTTTCTTGCAGATGTTTCATTACCCAAACTAGGTAACATCATAGCACTGATGATGTTATCAAGTTTGGGTAATGAAACATCTGCAAGAAAACAAGCAAGCTCAGAGAGCACCAAGGACCCTTCATTTCAACCCTACAAATATTCTCTTTTATCAAGATTATAAATAGTTGGAAGAAAAGACAACTACACATAGATTTTTAGGAGTTTTTATGAAAGAACAAACAAACAAACTTTATTATTTTTTCTATAAAACATAAAGATAAAAACTAACAAAAACAATTGCTCAAAGAGAAATAGCTAGAAAAGAAAAAGAAAAGAGATAAAAGTACAAAAAGATAAAAATTATAGAAACAACAGCATACACAAAAAATTAAGTACCTTCTGACTTCTTTTATAGACAACATAGTTAAAACTTAAATTCAATCTTTACTTTAGGATCAAACTATAGCTTCAATTTTTCCCAACAATCAATAGATTTTACCACTTATCAAATCCATGTCATAATTTGATTTTTTTTTCCTGTTTCTTGCTAAAGGTCTACAAAAGGCTTGCAATTTAGTATTAAATTTTGCCAAAGTTTTTTTCTCTAATGGGGGCCATGCAATTATTTTCTCCATGATTAAAAAACTCAGTGTACTGAGATTTTATATTTGGATCAGAACTGACCACATGCAAAAATTGTAGGAAATGGTAAAAAAACAACAACAGGTTATCCGATCATAGGGAGGTGTGAATACTTGTTAATTTGTGTAATTTACTAGACGTTCAGTTGAATGTGTTTCCATCTCTCTTGTCTGGATATCCATTCACTCTGGATGAACTATGAGAATAGAGCCAATGGCACGGATTTGTTGCAAAGAATAGAAGACAAGAAAATAAACACTGTGGGCAATGTTCAAATGTAAAATCCTGACAATAAGTTGTTCTGAATCCCATTGACAGCCTACTCGCCAAACTGCCCTTAGTACAGCATGGCTGATCAAAATTTGTTTGAAGCTTGAGACGCATGTTCAGATTCCTAGCAGCTTAAAATCCCAGGAAGTTGCTATTGAATTACAGTGCAGTTGGTTTACAAATTTTATAAGACCTATTAATACAGACCTTGATTGACCCTAGAGGCTTCATTCCAGAGAGGAGAAAAATAGCTTCATTTGTGAAGGACTAATAATGTGCAAGAAATCTGAGAACCTGTTCTATAAAAGCAAAAATGGAGCAACAGTGGCAGCAGCAACAGCGGAAATAACAGTTTCCATTTAGCACAAGCAATACACATCCTGTGTGACTCCAGGCACTTTGATACCATCCCATGGCTATATTTTGATTCCGGCTAATTAATCCTGTAGTGTTTTTAAGTTCTACTAAGCAGCAGAATCAAAGGCAGACTGCAGACCGGTGTAGAGGATAACCAGTCATGCAGCCTGATTTGAAATCTGATCGTCTATACAAGTTCTGCTATGCTTCTTCAGTGTATGCGATTCTGGGCGGCCAATTCTACTGACTTCCAGAAGTGACATCCAACCTGGAATCATTTCAAGTTATCTGTCTTTTCTCTCTACGTGTGGATTATTTAGGGTTGCAATGACCAGATTTAGCTACTAGCTCCATGGCCTTTGGATCTGCCATTGGTGCTTTTTTAAATTATACCCAATTTGATTGACTCAGGGTCAAAGGATCTGCAAAGCACTGGGCCCTATGCAGTTGGATTTTTGTAGCTCCCTATAAGAGCTGCGGAGAAGTTTTATTTTGAAAAAATATCCAAGATGCAAAAAATGAAACCTGCAAACATGCATTAGTGATTTGTTTGTTGTCTGTTGTCTTGTACTACACTCTATTTCCATTACAATTTATACTATGCACTGTTCTACATACGATAGTCAATTACTATTATTATACTATACTCTATACTCAGTTGTACGTCTATGCTATATTATGCTATTTCTACTACAAGTATACTATTACTATTTCTATTATACTATTATTATACAACAGGGTTTTAACTCCTACAGACACTGGTCTGTCTTAAAATCCTCTCTCTCTCTCCCCCCCCCCCTCCTATCTTCTACTGTTATTTTCACACTAGCCTATGTGGTATGTTGGTGACGGTGATGGACTAAAAGTGGGAAAATCCTTCTTTTCATCAAAATCAACCACAGATGTTCCATGGGAGTCTTTGGGCCAGTCATTCTCAGCATAGCTTATTCCACAGAGTTGTTGTTGTGAGGGTAAAATATGTGGAGAGAGTGCTTTGCACACTGCCTTGAGCTCCTATACTAACAACAACAATAATAGCAGTAGCAGTTAGTCTTCTATACACACATAATCCTGTGTTAACACATTTATTTTGAGTTAGACTCTCCCCTCTCCCCCCAAAAATATGTCTGCCTAAATTTAACTGTGCCCTTCTTATGACCTCCCTATAACTCCTGACACAAAAGTGTTACTAGCCCTTTTGGCTGTGGAACATTAAATTCCTAACCAACCAGGGAGTGCCACAATGACACAGGGATATTTGATAGAGATAAGGGAAGTCAAGCTTGCTGTGGTTCTCTTTATTTCACAAATATTTTCTGTTGTTTTCCATGTGTATCACATTTCCTTATTTTGCATTAGTGCCAGCATTTGTTTATTTCCCTTCCTGAAAACATGGTGGAAAATTAACCACTTGCCACGTCATCTGTAGTGTATATATTTGCCTTCTTATGCTGTTTTACAACCATACCACAATACACATGGCTTTCATAAAAACATCTTGGAAGTATGCTCACTTGTAGAAGGTGAGCTTAGTATGTAAGTACATACTCAGTATGTATGTATATACTTAGTATATACTCCAAAAGTATGCCCCTTTTTAGAAAGGGATCATATGGAATGAATCAGTACAGTCAATAAAATGTAGAAAAATAAGTAAAATATTGTTAAACTACAGCATGGGAGATCTTGTTGGTATCTCTGTTGTGCTTAATAAAATAATGCTTGAAGTTTACCAAACATAGACAGTGCTCATTGTTTTCAGAGAGACTACACTATAAATAAGCAAGGCAGGATAATTGTTTAAGAAAAATCAGCTCTCATTAATATTTTAAAGGAGTTAAGTTTAAGTTAAGATCTGATATGGTTTAACATTTGATCTTCAGCTGAGTAACATCCTTTCTGATAATTCTTGCTACCTATCAGGACAAAATCCCCAAATATTATACAATAAAATAAAGAGAAGTTCCAAGGTTGAAGTAAAACATGTGCTTTGTTTTGAGCCTAGAACAAAATGCTTGGGGTACTCGGATATTTTTTTCTATCAGTTCACGACCAACTTGGTAGAACATTTTGAGCGGGATGGCTCCAACTCAGATTTTGTTTTCAGATTCTCGTTTTGTGCATGTTCCTACAATAAAATATTTTAAATAAAAAACAATCATATATTCTTAAAAAGAGTGACAAAAGGAAGTAGTTTTTTAAATAGTTTTTAAAAAGCCCCAGCAATCAGAAAATTAGAACAAACAAAAGTTCCTATAAATGAAGACGAATATACGTGTCCCAAGATAATGTTGCAGGATCCAATCTGGTTCGGTCACCAGGACCAGAGTTTTTTTCTTCCAGGTTTTTTGACTCATGCGGGAGCCCATCTTCAGGGAACTCTCTATGAGAGTGTGTGCTGTTCAGATTGGACCCCATAACAAAAGTTTAAAACTCCACAGAAATTCTTAGCAGACGGCCTTAAGAATGAGAGACCACCAGTGAAAATGGCCACCCTTGTCCTGCCAACTCTATCGTGCTTAAAGAAAAGGAAACGAGCTGGGTTTTGGAAGACAATCAGACTAGCCTCTAGAATAGCATCACAATTCTAGAAATTGTCACCAGCTCTAGCCCACACGCACATCAACAAAACATGCTGAAATGTTGCTCAGGTACTATATTTGATACTCTGATTTCCAGCAATTATTTTGAAATAATGTTTGAGCTAATGCTTAATAAGCTTCACTTAAGTGTTCATTCTTCTTTCGACATTTTATTACAGACAGCTCTGAATCTATACTATATCTCTATCATTGGCCATAGCCTTTCAATTGTTTCACTTCTGATTTCTCTTGGCATATTCTTCTATTTTAAGTAAGTATAATTTACATTTATTAATTGCATCTCTATAGCTTATAGTCATTACCTGTATGCAGTTATTAATATGTTAGTTCTGGCATTCTGAGTACTGATTACAGCAAGAATTGTTAAGTTGTATTCATATTGTCCCTAATATTAAATTTCATAGAAAACTGTTGAGGTCATATGACTCCAAAGTCTGTGCATAATTTTATGACAGTTTTGATATAGGAGAGACATATGAAGCCACTGTTAACTCTGTTGGGTATATAGAGACCAAACCTGCAAGTACAAAATAGTTTATATGTCAATTTTTCCGGCAAGTTGTAAGTCCAAATATGAATTTGTGTTTAGCCCATATGCATGACTGAGTGTTAGTGGCAGCTGATTTAAACTGCTGTTGTAAGTGACCTTCAAGATGTCAGAAATCATGAGAAGGAATAATTAACCAACAAGAAATATACACTGTCACAAGTCATTCTGACCTCTGTTTTGTTCTCTATAGTATATAAACAATTTATTGCTATTCCAAATCTTGAAAAACTTCAGTATAATGCTCTTCTATCTCATCCAAGTAAATTGTTTTAAGAACTTTAGCTTATATCTAGAATATACTGTCTGCCTTGATTTTTTTAAAAATAAATGCTGTTTACATACTTGAATTGTTTCAAATATTCAGACAAATATGTAGTGACCTTTTAACACGCATACCACTAAATCATTCCTTCTTTGTGGGTAAAGAACTTCTGTTTGTGTTATAATCAGACCAGAAAGCAATGGTGATCAAGTTCAAAATAAACTAGCTTCAGAATATAGCTTAATATTTTCTTTTGTCCTGAAATTGATCACCCTGGTTTTCTAATGTGGTCAACTCTCCCAAATTAATGACTTCCCAGGATAATTAAGGTATTATGGCCAATCTTTCACTCACAATATAGAGTGAATATTTGTAGAATATTTTATTACACAAAACTGAGCATTGAGAGCAAGTTATTGTGTTCAGTTCAGAGGGTCAGTTAGGTTACTGTAGACTCTTCTGGTTCTTTCAGAGGGTCAAATGTTTTTGAACTACAAAACAACTTTCAATTTAGCAATTAAATTGCTAACAATAAACTGTTCTGTGCAAAGGAAAGAAATAGGAAAAAAAACAATCTCTGCCCCTCTCCCCTAATTTTCTCTTGCTCATTTTCTTTCAGGAGCCTCAGTTGCCAAAGGATCACATTGCATAAGAATCTCTTTTTCTCTTTTGTTTGCAACTCTATTGTAACAATTATTATTCTAACAGGAGCTGCCAATAACCAAGCAATGGCTGCAGCTAACCCAGTAAGTGACTACCACATTAGTATTTTTGCTGCTTCATAAATATCTGGCAATATGATCTGCTAAACTCAGGGGAACTTCATTCTGTGTAAATATGCATAGCTTGAGCTAATTGAGCAATTATAATAATCAGTGAAATAATATGAAAGAGGAGCAGTGTTTATAGGAAGCCTCATATGCTCCCCAAATATAATCCTGGTTATTCTGTGTTATATATTTATGCGTACAGTATCTTTTGATTAAAAAAAAAAGCCAATGTGGTGTAGTGGTTAAGGCATCAGGCTAGAAACCTGAAGATTGTGAATTGTAGTCCCACATTAGAAACAGAGCCAATTGGGTGATCTTGGGCCAGTCACTTTCTCATAGTTCTAGGAAAGAAGCAGTGGCAAACCTCTTCTGAAAAACTTTGCCAAGGAAACTGCACGGACTTGTCCAGGCAATCTCCAAGAATCAGACACAATTGAACAGAAGAAAAAAATTGTAATAGTAATCTATATAGTAGCATTCTGTCTGTCTGTCTGTCTGTCTGTCTATCTATCTATCTATCTATCTATCTATCTATCTATCTATCTATCTATCTATCTATCTATCTATATCTATCTATATCTATAGATATAGATATGGATATAGATATATATAGATGTATATCTTGAATCCTTTCAGCTGGATATGTCCATGCTACTTTTGGGGGGCAATATTTTTCAGAAATGGTTTGGCCTTGTTTTCTTCCTAAAGTTGAGAAAAAGAAAGATTGAGACTCGCTTAAAGTCACCCAGCCAGCTCCATGTCTAAGACAGGACTTTAACTCACACTCTTCTGTTTTTGTAGCCAGTCTTTTAACCTTTAACCAAACTATTCTTAATCTCATGATTAGAGTGGTAGAAATTGTTGCTAACTATACCCATGAACACCCATACCTGATTAACTTCTGGACAGAATAGTTGCCTAGTGGCATCTGTAGACTCTCAACATAAGGAAATAAGCATCTTGTTATAGCAGTTTGAAAGAAGCAGTCTTAGAAATGGAATTTGGAACATTTCTATTGATAATGACAGTTATTTCACAGATAGTTTGAAGGGTTCAGGTGGCTTATCCGTTTCTAAGAGTGATTGACAGTGATAGGTCTATTGTTTATTCGTGCGCAAGAGTTTAAATTAANAACTAGAAAAAAAATAACAAAATACCGCGATCTGCAAATTGAAGTTGAGCAATTGTGGAGGAAGAAATCAATAGTTGTACCAATAAGTTTTTACCAGTCCCAGACTGTGAATCAAATTGAAGATTTGATGTACTGAAGATTTCATGTACTGCCTGCCTCCCATGAATTTTACTGTTTTGTTACACTGAATTTGTGAGGGTTTTTTTTTATAAAAACTTTTGAGTAGCTACTTCATCAGACAGACTGTTTGAACACAGTTCGAGATTGATCCTTTGATTCAATTTATGTAATTGCCTACCTCTTTAGACTTAAAGTAAAGAAAAAAATAAGGTTCTGAGAAACCATAGGGTCCACTTTTTATTGAATTCTTAATTGTGGAGAAATGTTGCTCAGCCTCTCCTAGGTAGATAATACTGAGCTAAATAAACCAGTGGTCTGGTTCCTATAATCCCAAGGATAAGATTAATGATGTAATAAAGTTTAGTAATAAAAATGGCACAAAGCAATGGCAGGAAAACAGTAGAGCCATGAAGAAACAGGTCTTCTTCAAATTAAGCTTGACTCTTAGTGACCTGAGTTTGCAGGAGACATTGGCAAAAGATACCATGATTAGTCACTGCCTTTTTCCAGAGTATGTTTTGTTATCTTGATATCCCTGGTAACTCTACCATCCAAATACAATGAGAACTGACCAGATAAGATCAGCTGATGCAAATCAAGTTCTAAATATCCAAGATCCTGGAAATTAATGCCCACATTCTTATTCCTATGGATAGATAAGAAATAGATCTTTTTGAGATTCTAAGAAGATCTTCCAAGTTCTTTCCCAGAAGGTGTGTGATCTCAACATAGCATCTTGAAGCAGAGAGAATTATCTTTGTTTTCTCTTTGTGTTTCCATTGTTGCTAGTGCAATACAAATTAAGTTGGTTTTATCATTTGCATATTACAAGAATATCTATAATTATATTGGTCTTTTCTCCTATAGGTTGGATGCAAAGTGGCACAATTCATTCACTTTTACTTAATGGTTTGCAATTACTTCTGGATGCTCTGTGAAGGCATTTACTTGCACACTCTGATTGTGGTGGCTGTATTTGCAGAAAAGCAGCATTTACTTTGGTATTATCTCCTTGGATGGGGTAGGCTATTTTTCTTCTCCCCCTCCCCCTTCCTAAGTATATTAATATCACTTTCTGGGCCCACTCATAGTGTAGTTTTAATTCAAGGGGAATTTTAATATCGTTGAAAGGAAACCCAGCAGCAATTTGTAAACTCTGTTGCTTCATTCACACAACCAAAAGATGCTAAATATCATTTTACATTAGATATCACTTTCCACACTGGAAATATATCACTCATGGCTTTTAAGTGTATATATTACTGACTCATAAATCTTATCTTAGCTAAATGGGGAATGTGTTGGGGCAGGAAATGACTTCTTTGATTTAGAAAAGGAGTCTTCTATTAGGAAAGGGCATGGGGGCATAATTATTCATTGTTTCCCATCTTAGGAGTGTTTATACAGGCAACATTAATGGTTGAAAAAAATATATATTACAGTTCCTACAGTGGGGGATAAGCCCACCATTTATTTTTCCAGCAGTTCCTTTGACCTCTTTTGTTCGCAGAATAAAAAGAAGCCACATCTATTGAAAAACCTAACAGTTTTTTTTCCCTTTAATGGGCCAATAGGCGTTGATTTGTTTTATTCTCTCATTAAATTCCAAAGGGGAGGAACCCTTTCTGGCCCTGGATGTCTTGCATCATGCCGTGATCTAAGTGCACCTCCTGCCCCAAAGCCCATGATTGTGTTTGCGATTGTTTATTTGTTGCTAATGCGTCTGTGGTCCATCACTTTGGCTGACTAAAGATGCTATTTCAAGTTCAGTTTTGCATCTTAGGCTTTGAATGTGTTATGTATTCTACCCTATGCCGTCTCTCACTCCTCCATCTCTCTCACAGTCACGTAAAGCCTCTTTCCAACAGAAAACACTTCTTTAGAAAAGCAGACGTAAGGATTAATCAGCAAATATTATAGACATTTAGCAATAATTTCTAGATTTAGCCAAAATGATGTGCAAAGATAAAATAGGTTCATGTAAGAGGTGATCTCTGCACTTGTGGTTATCGTGAGGGAACAGGAGAAGCTTCAATATTTCACAGTCCTATCCTCTCCTGGTCTCCTGTCAAGGCGAGAAAGACTAGAAATAATTTCTGGAGTTTGGAGAGGATGCTGGGTTTTTTTCCTGATACTGGAGCCTCCTAATAACCATCTTCATTACAGACAATAGTATTCTAATAAATACAGCCCTACCTTATGCAGGGTTATTATGATTATTAAGCTTTTATTCTTTTAAAATGAGTAATTTAGATTTGAGCCTGCTTAAATCAAGGGTATTGGATGCTATGTAGCCTCTGGGATCAATTTTTATTCTTTCATAACACATGCTTATTTTAAGAACCATTAACATCATTAAACGTGGATCTGAGAGCTTTAATTTATGGAGACCCATGTACAGAGACATTTTAATGTCACTTTAATTAGATGAATCAAGGCTTAAATCAAGTTGGATTTATAGTGTCAAATGCCAGCATTACAAAAATAAGTTGTTCTATATTAAAGCATATTTATTGTCAAGGTTGATTCTAATTCCCTATGGGTCATTTTATTAATTAGTGGTAACTGGAGTACAATAAATTATAAACAAACCAACCATGAATATAAATATTAATACAAATATAAATAAGTTAAACTTACTATGTCTGGTATTGTAAAAGTATCCAAATGCAGATTTATATCATTCCAAACCAGTTCTTAAAATTTCTTGATTATTTTTACCTCACGTTAATGTATATATAAAAGACATATAGGTAAGATCAGCCATCAGAAGAGACATTTCTTTAGAAAATTGGTCCCCCCCCCCCAAATTGAGTATCCTTCAGATGTGTGGACATCATCTCCCAGAATATTCTGCAGTGGCTATTGGGGTGGGGAATTCTAGACATGCTCTAATTCAAATAAGGCTTTGACAGCATTTTGAGAACATCGGTGGTTGCCTCTAAGAAACCATACCTGCTGTTTTCCACCACCGTGCACTCCTAGTCTCATGATGCTGTTGTATCACAAGGTTGGCCAAGAACTGACAGGTAATAAGCTCCTGTATACACATCCTGCAATCTATTCTCATCATGAGATTAGACTGGTGAAGCCATTCGGAGTTGGAAAATATCAGAAATCAGAATTTAAAACTGTGTACTCCAAAATATTATTGTGGACATTTTAAATATTTACTGGCTGAGTTGATTCATACCTACGTTTTCATCCAAAAAGACAACTAAGAGATATGGAGCATAATTAAATATGCATACTGTAGTTAAAATATACATAATTAAAACATGAGTATAAATGATGATAAATGACTAAGGGGAGCAGGCTCCATGAATGGTTTTGAATCAGCTTGACT